GTTTTAAAAAGTAAGGCTTCACAGTCGCAGGCAACCATCTGGCAACCACCAGTAACGAGGGTAAAATATGGAAAAGAGTGTATTCTGCAACTAGTTGGGGAATAGTTGCTGCAAACAAAAGTGCGACACAAACCGGAAACGCAGACTGGCGTTCAACGTAAGAGTCGTGCCTCACGCTGTGGTGAACTAATTTTAAAAGGTGCAGGTTCAAGTTTGCATGCAAATGTTCTCTAGTCTCGTCACTGCGGCTCGTGAGCGTTTGCAGTCGTCCACAGCCAACCTGTTAGCGACGACGACGATGCCTCATGGTGCAACCTCCAGCAACCACTCACCAACCGGTCCAGTAATGCACATTTTTACCTAGCAACCAGAGGTTACCAGGGGCGTGCCATGTGGCTCAGGCGTAATTATATTAATTTGTTGTACAAAAATAATCTTGATTTTAGGCCATAATCAAGCGGCCCTAATGATCCGGACTAATAAATAGTGTTTTTTGGACACTTGGCAGGGCGCTGATGTTGCCTGTGAAGCTGAAATAAAAGGACTTTGTGTGTGTGTGTGTGTGTGTGTGTGTGTGTGCAAACACCAGAGATTATGTGAAAGGCTGGAGCTTTTCCACGCCATCGGCCCTTCTCTGAAGTGGCTGCAGACCATTTCTCCCTCTGTTTTGTTGTAAAGCTGTCAGGATTTCACAATCAGGTGAGTCAGAGCAGAATGCAGCGTCCATATGATGCACGTGCGCCGCTGTTCGCTGCATTCAGACCACATCACACAGACACAGTGAGAACAGGGTGTACCCTTTGAAAAAGGCTGTGTTTTATTGAAATACAGCAGACATCAACAGGTTGTTTTGCTGGCCTGGGCGACAGAAACAGAGCTCGAATGCTTTTCAAACAACGCAAAAACAAATATTCATGGCTCTTATTTTCTTTTAACCCGACGGACCCCAGAGACGCCGCCAGCCCACGAACCCAGCTGAGTCAGGACGAGTTCGCTTTTGGGCCGGGAAGGGAAGCGTCTTTGTGGCGTCGAGGACGAAACAAAAACAAGCTGGTGCTCCAAATCAGTTTGGGTTCAAAGATGCTGGTATGTGAAGTTAAAAATCGAACGCGCCTCGAGTGCTGGAGGATTTGAAAGTGTTCAGGCCTGTTTTTGTGCCCAGGGTTGTTGTTAGATAGTAGCAGTAGTAGAAGAAGCAGAACCTCAGTTATGAAGCAGGGCTGGCCTCAACTCCCCTTAAAAACACAATCAGAGCACCTGGTTTTCCCAAAAGTGATGCTTGGCTTTGTAAAGTCTTTTTTTCTCGGTTGATTACAATTTTTTTGTGCATTTTTTTGCAGGAGCGTTTGAGCACTTATCCCTTCATTTGACTTCTTTTCACACGTGAACCAAGATTAAAAAACACAGCTTGAAAGAATGCAGTGAGTTTGATGATTTGCATACGCAAAACTTCCAGAAACTGGATCTGATTCAACTTGTCGAACAGCGGAAGGTTTCTCTAAAACTAAAATACTTTTGCAGAAGTCACGTCTTGATTGTCTCACGTCTTAAAATTCCTTCGCTGAGCTTCTGAAGTGAGCTGAAAAAGCAGTCAAATGAAGAAGATATCAGCTCTCTACAGCCTATTTTCTACTTTTTCATTCTTGGTTCACATGTGACAGCGACTTGAATTTCAAAACTGAGGACAGCTGGAGACTGAGGACGGATAAACACCCTTGAAGTTTGCTCGACAACGGAGTCTGGATCAGAGCGCAGATTTGCTCTGATAGCAGGAATGACGTGCTCAAAGTCCAGAGTCTAGTTCAGAAAATCTAGTTCTGAAACTCTGACGCAATATCAATATTTCAGAGGTGGAAATATATCAAAGAAAACCAGAAGACTGCATTGCTCTTTAACTTTTGTGCTTGAAACCGGTAAACAGAAAACAACAGAGCCATCATCAGAGCGAACTTCAGGGAAGGTAAAGGAGTTCAGCCTCGACGTCGTCCCCCCACCCCGCCAACATCGGAACCTCGCTGCTCTTCAAAACTTGACTGTCGCTGCATAAAAAGCTTTTTTGAGGAAACCAGGCGCTCGCCACGATACAACGGAGCAAGTTTAAACGAAGGAAGGACGGAGCACACCAGTCGCACTGCGCGCCGCTTTGTGCGGTTTGTTCGTCCCCTCGTTGTGACCGGGGCAGTTTTCCCCAAGTTTACGCTCACAGGAAACGACGATTGCAACATTTAATCGCGATTGTCGATTACGTACATTTACAAGCCACCTGGGTGCTGCACACCGCTACTCGTCAGCGTGCGCTAAAAATAAACTAGCATAAATTTGAGACAAACCTCTTTAAGACCGCTAACCTACAAGCCGTCAGTTAGCTTCAAAGGCTTTTTAAGGCTTATTTTAGAGGTGCTTTAATTTTTTATCTGGATTTTTTATGAATCAAACTGCAAAAGTGAACCATGATTGTTGTGCTAGCTGCAGCAAAATTAAAGTTGCTGCTATTAGCAAGCCAGAATGACATCACCAGTATCGCTGATGTAGCCTTCTCTTATTGGCTAAAAATCAACTGGTGGTCCTGATTTCCATTACAAGCGACTCCATCCTGGTACTTTGGTACTCGTAGTGAACTACATTTAGACTTTTAAATTAACAATTGTAATTAGCACAAGTTCGTGATTTAGCTAACGGCTATTTTGATCCTTGGTTTTAGCATCTTACACATTCACATAAAAACGGGACAAGATCGCTCTTCGTCCCTTTGAAGGTAAAAAGTGCAAATTTATGTGGAAAAGTTGGCCAAAAATATTTTAATCAACAAAATAAAAAAGCTTAATAGAGTTGAAAGTAGACTACAGTAGAACTTGTGGCGTGTCAAACGTCACTGAGGCCAAAGGTTTGCTCGAGGCACCGGTGTGGGCTAGCGGAAGCGTTCGAGCAAATTTAGTTCCCACACGATCATGTTTAACTTCTGCAGGACCGCCTTTGCTTTGGTGCCAGTGTGCTCGGTTCCCTCCTCTTTCAACATTCAGACAGTAAACCCACTTTCCTCCCCAAAGCAATTACATTCAATCATTCATCAGAAAAATATTCAATTAAAACTATACACTTGCAAAAATAAAACTCTCTTGGAAGCGTGCTAAGGCTGAGCGTCCACCAGGAGGCGCTCTCCGCTGCGCTGCCAGCACTCCTGTTAGGCCCTGCAGCTGTGCGGCGAGAGCTTCAGTGCTGCTGAACGCTACAAGTTTAAAGAACTGCGAAGACTTCGAGCAAACAAAGAAGCATTTTAACCACCTCGGACGAGCGGTCGGAGCTACCGCCAAACCCCTGACAGCTCGACCGGCCGTCCCGCGGACGGAGTTGGAAACCTCCCCCTGCCGTCGTGTCGTTGAGGCCAGCCCTGGTATGCATTTGTAAATACAGTATTTCAGATATATGTAGTCTTATCATCTTTAAATCTGACCAGGACACTACAGCGGCAGAAGCAATACATAAAGAAGCTCATATTTTGTTTTTTACTATTATTCTTTTTTGTAGGAATGGAACTAGTTTCAACTAATCCTACCAAGCCAACATGTAGTAATGTATCGAATAAAAGGCTATTTATCTTTTTTTTGTCTGTTTTTGTTTATTACAGGTGTGTATGATGGTGTGCAGGACGACAAAGAGAGAGAGGGAGAGAAAAACGAAGGAAAACGGTGAAAAATGAAAGAAAGCGAGGAGAGGCGAGGAGAGACGAGAGAGACGACGAAAAGGAGGAGGGATAGAAACAGAGAGAAGGATCAAAGTATGATTCAGGCAGCGTGAGTCTTGATTGCAGGTTTTTACTGTCGAGTTTGTAAGTTGCGTGATCGTTACCGTTGAATCCTTCTGCGTTTGCCACCGTTTCAAGTCTCTCGACTGTTTTTTTTGTTTTTATACTCAGTTTGTTCCTTATCGGGTTTGAAAACAAAGATCCACGACAGTCACTTGGTCATACAAGCATGTTCGTCGGAACGAGAAGTGCAGATTGGCTTAAGTTTCTTTTTGTTTTTTTCCTTTGCTTTTCTTCAAAAAAGGGTTCCAGACAGTGGCTACAATAATAATAATATAATAATATAATAATAATAGCACTTGACTTCACTTCAGCACAGTAAAAAAAAGGAAAAAGGTCCAAAGGTGCTTTTTTTTTTCTCCGTTTTGTTTTTTAAATCTGATTTGATGTGAAGCGAAGTCCCCCCTCTTCCTCCCTCCTCTCCCTCCCACCTCTCCTCTCAGCGGGGAAGTGGCGGGCGGAAGTCCAGTGCCGGTGAGATGAACAAATGACTGAAGTATTGCCAACTGGTCCGTCTTTTTCTTTTCCTTGTTTTTCCTTTTTTTGTAGTGGTTCCACTCCGGTTCAGTACAAAACGAGGAGAGAGAGATGGGAAAGAGCAAAAAACCCCACCAAGAACAAAAAAAGGAAAAGTGTTCACGCACACACTGCTGGCACTAGATTTTTTTTAAAAGTCCAACAAAAATAAACCAAAAAAAAAAGCAGAGAGGGTTTTTTTTAAAGGAAAAAGAAAACCAGGAGGATTTTGGGGGGACGAGTTGCTCCCATTTTACAAAATGTAACAAAATTTTTCCCGCAAAATTTTACAAATCTGTAGCAATACAGGAAAAACAAACAAACAAACAAACATATATATCCTATTTACAACGACACGAAGAAGAACCCTTATGTTATGTGTAGTGAGAATGCAGCAGATCCCAGCTTTGGCACTCGGCGTTTTTGTTCGTTTTTTTTCTTGTTTGTTTGTTTGTTTTAAATCCACCCTGTCGGTCTGTACTGCTGCTGCAGGCACACATTCAGTGCTCCGGTTCGTCTCCACGGCAACACGGGTCACACACAACACCGCCTCGGCCACGTCCGTCAGTCCCGCCTTTAACTCCGTAAAATATGGCGTTTGTGACGCTACAGATGGCCCCGCCCCTCCCTGAGCCTGGTTCTGCTGGAGGTTTCTTCCTGTTAAAAGGAAGTTTTTCCTTCCCGCTGTTGCCAGAGTGCTGCTCACAGGGGTCGTCTGATTGTTGGGGTTCTCTGTAGTATTGTAGGTCTTTACTTTGCAAGGGGACGGTTGGTGCTATATGAATAACACTGAACAGCTTTTTCTACCCTTGGCTCTGTGTGATGTCATAGAAAGGAGACAATCCTGCCCACCTTACTAATTTCCCGCTATAAGGAGCAGCCAATCAGGAGAACTTTCCCCTAAAGGGGAGGAGCTGTGGAGTCCAACAATGAAAACTAAAGTCTTTATAGTTTGTAACAGAGGTGATTCACCTAAAGCCGTGAGGAAGTGAAGTAACAGGCCATTTGATTGGACAAAAAAGTTCCTCAAGGTTAAACTCAGGAACATATTTCAGAGGTGTTGTTAATGAAAACGTGAAATGAGAAGGATCCACTGAAGTCTAACAGTTATAAATTTAACATGTATGTTGAAGCTCGATTAACAGAAATGTTTTCTTTTAATTTCTAACATTGGATAAAAAATTTTCCTCGGCACTCAGACTGAGGCACGCAGCGTTCCTTTAGCCGGCGAATCGTTTCTCACGCACCAACCAATCTGAGGAAAATGGAAAACATGAATAAACTCGTCCGCTTGCGCGTGAACAAAGCCTCGTGCGCCGTCACGCCGACCAAAGCAGCTTTTAATACGGTGCTGCTGACAACTCCACACTCCAGTGGAAAAACAACAAAAGGAAGTAAATATAGAAAGTTTCTGTGGCGCTGAAGGACTCGCTCGTCTCACAATGCAGCGCTGAGCCAACGTAAAGGCTGAAAACTGGCAGTTAAAGGCTCCAGCTGCAGCTCGGCAATTCAATAAATACGTTTAACAATCATTTAAAAGAAGAGAAAACACTCTGAATAAAACATTCTGGTGACTTCCTCCGACTTAGGTGGAAAAATAAAGAGTTGCATAATGATGCAGGCGGACGGCTGTGACAAGGACGAAGAACGACTGGAATAAATCCTGATATGCTGCACGAGCGAAATACTAATTGTTCGTTTAATTCACCCAAAGCGTGCGCTGAGGAATTAATAAACGAATCCTACTGAGGTTTGGTTTGAAGGGACACGAGTTGTTTTTTTCAGGCATGTTTGTTGTTGCGGTTCACTTAAACTTGCTTTGTTTTCCGGCTCGTTTGTGGATTTATTCTCGGGGGGAGTGGAAGTGATCCACTTCACTTCTTTGAGGGAATGTTTGAATTTTGTCCCCCTGAAGTCAAAACACATTTAAAGGGTCCGACTCTGTTTACGGCACTCTGCAGGACGCCTGTGCGACGGTGTTGTGTTATAATACTACTGTAAAACTGAAAGCGGCAGTTTGAAATCCACTGTAAAGGTGGGTGTGTGGGGTGGGGGGGTTTCAATTATCTTCACAGATCGTGACCCTGAATTTCTCCTCGCGCTCTTCAGATTTCAATTTGGGTGCAGCCCACAGCAAAGCGCAGCAGCGGCTCTGTCGTGTTCAAACTCGTGCTTTTGTGTGCGAGCGTCACATCTACACCGCGGTCGCTCCAGGTCGCTGACGGCGTGACGGAGGAGGATGTTGTGCGTGAGCCGGGATGCGACAATCAAGAGATTAAAAACAAAAACCAAAAAAATCTGAAAACACAAGAACAGGGAAAAAAAAATTAGATAATCGAGAAACTCTTCTTTTGTTGCTCCATTCTTCATGTTTTCTCCTCTTCTGTTTCCAGCAGCAGCGGCGGCGGCGGAGGCGATGGAGGCGAATCTTATTCACACCTGAAATGGACAGAGGAGAGGAGGGGGGAGGAGGGGGGAGGAGGGGGGAGGAGGGTAAAAAACACATTAAAATCTGTCAAATGTTCGGCGGCACAAATGTCAGTGTCACAAGAACTCGGATGATTCTCGGCAAAAAATGAAAACAAAGCCAAACAAAAAGAGGCAGAGAGCAGCGAGCGAGCGCGGGGGATTAAAAAGCAGTCGTTGATCCCGAGTCGGCGTTCCAGGCCGCCCGGTGCCGCCGGGAACTGGGACACGCTGTGAGAGAACAGCGGCAGACCTGAGCGGCCGCGGCGCGCTCGCTTAATCTGTGTAAGAGGAAAACTGTGCCGAAGATTAAACGAGGCCGGCGGTCGCTGTGATTACAAACACAGTTTTGTATCGTGGGACAGAGAGCGGCTCGTCAGCAGCAGGTGACCTGTGGGTAAACTCCCGCCGTCAGGCGGAGCCAGCTGCTGCTCGTCAAACAGTATCGAGTAACTGATCATCAGCAGGTCTGAGCTGCTCTGTGCAAACGGTTTCAGTCTGCAGGACATTCAGGTGTCGCAGTCTTCACCTGGGTGGACGTCCCAGCAAATTCACCCTGCGGTCACTCTACGGGCCTCGGTTAGCAGCTTAAAGGTTAAAGTTCATGACCTTACAGATATGAAAGGACTGAGTAGCTGTGGCTCGTTGCCAGGAGAAAGCCTCTTCACCAGCTGTCAGCACGGTGGTGGGCGGCTGATGATTTGAGCACCTCACAGTCACCGAGTGGACCGTGAGGTGCTCTCCAAAGTCCTCTAGAGTCAAACCCACAGATAAAGCCTGGGCTGACCTGGATCACACAAAAGGTACTGCAAAGTGCAGCCTGACCGAGAGGCTGGACCTTCACGGAGCTGTGCAAACACGAAACCTCAATAACCTGAAGCAACGCTGCGAAGAAGAGTCCCCGCCGTGCTGTGAGAGACTGAGCCACCGCTTCAGGTCGAGCTACGAGCTGCTGCATCACAGGACCGTACGCAGCCAGAGTTCCCACAGTGTCTGATCAGTGTGCTCGCTGTGTTTGTGGAGACTTTAAATAAAGACTGAAAGAACGCGAACATCACTGCGGCTTCCGTTTAAGCTCCTCTGAGCTCGACACAGATTCATCCATCAGGTCTCGAGTCAAAGAGGACAAACTGCTGAATGTCTTCTTCAGCTGCGAACAGCTGCTCAATCAGCTGTTTAATCACAACACCAGCTGACAAGCCACAACAAAACTGTATTACCCTCACATACGCAAACAGCGTGTTACTGAGTCAGGCCCAGAGTCAGGGCCCTCTGAGCTTCACCTAAAAGTTCCTTAAAAAGACACAAACTGACTACAAAAAGATGAAAAACAACCACAAAACACAGGTTAGAGCAGGCTCACAGATGCAGCGACAAAGAGAAAACAAACAACTGCAAAGACACAAAAAAAGAGTCAGGCGCTAAGACGAGTACTGCACAGCTGCTACAGAGACACAAGAAACAGCTACAAAGAAACAAACGCGACACAAACATCTGCAGAGACAGACGCTCCACATGTTCTGCACAGAGAACAGAACTGAGTGCAGGTTGAACCAGGTTGAACTGTGACTCGAACTCGTCTCCTGTTGCTGGTTGAAGCCGAGGAGCTTTGTTGAGTCCAGGGACAGAAGAAATGACTACAGTGAATTTTACACCCATGACTGTTGAATAAAGACGCGTGTCTGTTTTAATAACTAGCTTGAGAAATAATTGGTGAGTGTCAGTGGTTTAGCTGTAGGAAGCTGCCTCTTTCAAAGACCGCTCAGAACCTTCAGCAGGAAAACGACAGCCTGATGTTCCTCTGAGCGCTCACAGATCCCCAACTGTCAGTGAAACTGGGGAAACTTATCCGCGTGTTCGCATGTTGCTGCCAGTCCAGAAAACTGCTTTTGTTCAGCGCGTCCCTGCAAACACCGCAGCTCACACCGTCTCTAGCGAGCGTCTTCTCCAGATGGAAGATGGCCGTGTTTTGTTAGACACCTGGTATGTTATTAAGCCAGGTAATACCAAGGAGAAGATTGCCTTCTCACAAAACTCTGTGGATGTCATAGCGAAGTCGGAACCCTGAGCTGGTGTTTGAGGCTCGTACTGTTAAACCCACAATGGTGGCAGAAATCACAGTGAAGGTCAGAATCCCCGACAAACACGCTCCTGGTCCGGCTCCTCACCTGACGCTCTGCCGTCAGGCTGACAAACCGCGGACGCGTTAACCAAGAACCGCTGGAGATCCCACCCGCCACCTGTTTGACCTGCTGCCCTCTGGACTCCGCCTCAGGTCAATCAGGTCTCACTCCCACAGACTCACAAACAGCTTCTTCCCCTCAGACTGGAAGCTAGCACAGACCCCACCCACACTCGCACTCACTCTTAGCCATGGTCCTGAGTCAGCCTCATCCTTCAGGCCAATCACAGCCTGCAAACGCCACGTCTGACCCGAGCTCCCGTCAGCCTCACAGCAGACACACCTGTGGAATCGCCTTTAACACCCTGCGTCGCCTCGCTCTCAAACTTAGGCTTCAACGCCGCCCGGCGGGGTGACGTCAGAGCCCCATCAGCCCGTTACAGGTGACGGGTAAAACTGATTATCCTATTCAAATGGACCAATCAGATGGGACCACAATAGAAAATAACACAGATGTGGTGCAGCATCAGGAGCGCTGTGTAATTAGGAAACTTCAAATCAAGAAATTTTAACTGGAAAAGAAAAAAAACATTTTTTTATTAAAAATGACAAAATGGAAATAAATGAATGTTCTTTAAGATTAAGGCGACCCGGGAGTGACTGTGATCGTCTCGCCGCTCGGTGTTTCGCATCATGATGATGACAGCGAGGGAGCAGCTCTGCAGCATGTCAGCAATTAAGGCTTCATCTATAAGGTACGACTGTTGATAAGTTATTACAGGACGCCGCGCTCCACTGATTAAATGAAGCCCGGAGCTGCTGTGATTAGTGAGACAGGACAATGGATGGTGGGCGCGCGCACACACACACACGTGCACACACACACACACACACACA